AGCTGTGACCTTCAGTGCTCACCTGGCTCCCCACCTGAGCAAATACCTCAAGTCTATCACCTGACCCCATTCAAGCAAACACTAGACAGGAACAAAGGGGCTAAAGACGACTGATGATCCAAGCAAACCAACCCCCCTCCTATAAAGAGAGGGCCAACATATCCCCAAGATCATAAGCAGCACTTGACAGTGGTCCCCATGTCCTCTCCTAAGATGCAAGAACCAAGTGAGGTGTGGCCCTGAACTAAGCCTCCCCTCCAGTTTCCTTTGGCTTTCCTGGCCAGAGCCAAGCCACAAACCCCTCCAGCTTGCTAACTCAGGGTCCCTAAACGTCTGAGTAGCATCTACCAGCTCTCACATTTACACACCCCCCACCCCACACTAGTAGACAGCTCACTACCTTCTCCCTCCCAGCCCAAGAGTACAGAACCACTGTGCGGGCCTGCAGGTCTCAAGTTCCCCTATCCAGCCTACCCCATACTGCACGGCCTCCAGAGGCAGGAGACATAGTCTGTCTAAAGAGTTACCTGTGCACAACACCAGGGAGCTCCAAGCAGTCGGCCTTCCTGTTATCTCGGGAACCCCTTCTCCTTTCCAAACCTAAAGGGCCGTTCTCCAGCCTCCCAATCTCAGGCCAGGGCCTCACCTAGGCCCACTGTGGGATCCAAAGCAAGTCCTGCTCCCTTGGGCTAAGGCGCCCTTCCCAGCTCTTCTCGGCTAAAGTCCACCTGAAGTTCCAGCTGTGGAAGGAAGTGGGTGGGGGGGTGGGGGAGGGGGGCAAACTCCACTCACTCCACCTCCCTGAATGACAGTCACCAATGGGAGCTACATCTCAGGTGGGTACCTGGTTCTGGGCTCCAGCTTTCACTTTAAGTAGCTTCACTCTTCTGTCCAGGGAATTTCTCACAACCAGGCCAAGGTTTTCTTCAACCTCCCCAACCCCAAGGAGAACCTTGCGGCTAATCTTAAATTATGACCCTGGGGTGAGAATAATGGGGATACCATTCAATCCTCCTCTTGAAAAAGGAAGGAAACGGTTCCGTCTAAAAGAAAACCTCCACCTGTCTCTGAGGCAGGAAAAAGAAACAGCAGGCTAACCGAGCGACACGCTCCCACTCCATGGTGCTAACGGCATGTTAAACAGAAACTCTACCCAATTCTGTTTTAAGAAAGATCTGGGCAGCATGGTACAGACTGAGGGGAGGCCAAGTCCAGCAGCAGGCTGGCAGATGGGCAGGTGGCTGTGCCTAGGGAACCCTCCTCCCTGGCTATGAAGGGGACACATCCCACCCAGAGCAAGGAGACTGGGAAGATGGAGGGAACCCAGTTATAAGCACCAGAGAACAGAGGAGACGGCATGAGGTACGCTAGGGGGAGGAGGTGGCCAGGCCGCGGGGAGGGAGAGAGGTCAGAGGCACCGCTGGTGGTACTCCCAGAGCAGGTTAGCTGGCCCAGGTCAGACTCACGGGGTTAGTGTCTTCTCCCCAACCAGCCAGCTCTCCTGGTTAGCACGGTTAGTGACAGACTCATGGCAGACACCCTCCAGGCACTCCATATAAACAGACAGCTTGATTTGTGAGCAGCCCAACTCCGGAGCTGCAAAGAGAGAACAGAAGGAATGCCAAGCTGCACATGCCCAGGGCACACACTGCACTCTCCTGACAGGCAAGGCTCCTCCGGACTTAGCATCGGGCCCTCAGGGGCTTTCTCCCACCCGGAAATCATGCCAGGCAGAGGTACAGCACTGCCCTGCCACCCAGTGAGTCCAGCTCACTGACCCCATGTAACAAGGCTCTCCGGTTGGGCAACAGAGAGGTCAGCTGTTGTGGAAAGGTTGCTGCTACCAGGCGGGGCAGCTCCTTTCTCACCTATTCTCCGAACACAGATGCCAGGCTACACCAGAGCCCTAAAAGCTGGGTTGTCAGAACAAAGCCACCCACAGCTGCAGCTGCCACCCATCCCATGCCTGTGCTAGCAGAGTCCACCCACCACCACCCACAGGCTCTGAGGAAAGGGGCTGGGAGAGAACTGGCTCAGGGATCAGAAGCTCAACAAGAGCTGCGTGGAAAGCACAGTACAATGGGGCAGTGTGTGACCCGGCCTAGCACTGGGCCAGTCAAGGGGAGGGCAGCACACTGCTGCCTTTGAGTTTCTGAAAGGGCCAGGGGGATGGCTCTTCCCAGGGAGCTGGCCCAGTGGAACCCACAGAGCAGGGATAAAGGCTATGCTATAGCCAGGCTCCAACAGGGACTAGTCCACCCTCTCAGAACGAGCCATGGCAGAAAGACAAGCATCACACTTTCCTGAAGCCTGCAGAACCACCCTGGATTACAGATATCAAGGCAATGCAGCCACAGCAGTGGAGCCCAGAGACCTCACAAGAAATGCCTCTGGGGCAGCAGGACAGGAGAGCTTCAGCAAATATATTTACAAATACTGCTGTGCTAAAGGAAAGGCAACATGCTGTCAGAGGAACAACAGGGAGGGATTCTCCCTTCTGCCTGGATAGCCCTGGAGAAGAGGAAATGACTTGGGGTAGAGAAGGGAGACCAGTGACCACCCTAGCCCCACAGAGGGGCCTGGTCCTTCTCCCAAGCCCAGGTTAATGATTAACGCAGGCAGGGAAAGCCTCCAATTGCCTACTCTCTGGGATCCCCATAATGCTGTGACAACAGCCCCAGAGCTCAAAAGGCCAAGGCCTGACCATGCAGGGTGAGATAAACATCTAGAAGAGAAAGAATTCTTCCTGTGGGCTCTGACCTCTTCCCTGGTCTGATAAGAAAGCATGGCCAGACACTGAGGAGTGGTTAGAGTATCAGGGTCAAAGGGTCACGGGTTTGATTCCCAGTTAAGGGCACGTATATGGGTTGCAGGTTCTATCCCCAGCCCCAGTCAGGGCGCGTGTGGGAGGCAACCAATTGATGTGTCTCTCTCATATCAATGTTTCTCTCTCTCTTTCCCTCCCTTCCTTCCACTCTCTCTGTAAAAATCAATGGGGGAAAAATCCACAATGGAAAGAAAGGAAGGGAGGGAGGGAGGGAGGGAGGGAGGGAGGGAAAGAAGGGAGGAAGAAAGAAAGGAAGAAAGGAGGGAGGGAGGAAGGAGGGAGGGAGGAAGGAAGGAGGGAAGGAAGAAAGAAACGAAGGAGGGAGGGAGGGAAGGAAGGAAGGGAGGAGGGAAGGAAGAAAGGAAGGTCATGAACAAGCAATCTTCAGAATCCTCACCCACAAAATAATAACAATAATAAAAAAAAAAAAAAAACAAAAAACACCAGATGGGTCTGGTTTGCTTTCAAAAAGTAGAGCACCAAGTGACCTGCCTAATCCAAGGTTGAAACCAGGGACGTTCTCTGAAAATCAGGTAGCTTCACTCTCTTCCCAGCCAAAGATGATAGAGGACCGAAGGGGAGAAACAGGTAAGATGCAGTGTTGATGCCCACAACATGCTTATATCCATTTTGATTCCCACTCAAGGGCACTCCTGCCGTACAATTTCAGCTCAGAATAAAAACAGTCCCTCAGAGAGAACCACGGGGCCACAGCGGCCTGAACCTATAGGGAAACCTGTTCACCTCCCAAGGAGCAAGCCCAGAGGACCCCAGGCTGCGGAAGAGGCACAACCAGGCTCGTCGCAGGTTCCAACGGGGACACTCGACCTTGGGTAGCTTGTAAGGTGAACAGAGCAAATTGAAGACCAGTATTATTATTGAGTTTTATAAGTAACACATTATTAGAAATGTCTAGAAGGACACAAAATAATTAGAAGGGTACGTGATAAATGGTTAACAGTTGTTAAAACTGTTAGATAGTTTCCTATCTTTGGGGGGTCTCTTTACTTTTTATTTTGTGTATTTTTCTGGATGATTGGTATTTTATACAAGGATTATGTTTATGATAAAAACATACAGATCCCAGACAAAAGCCTTCCACCTCACTGTGCTTTACTGTCTGGAAGAGCTCTTTCCCTTCCACGATATGATATGCCCTTGGATCCTTATAGCCTAGTGAGGCCCACAGAACGGGTGGAGTTCTCCCATTCTGAAGTGACAGAGAAGGACAAGTGACTTGCCCAAGACCACAGACTAGGACAGAACCCTCTGTTTCCAATTCCAGTCAAAGCATGGAAAGCTGTCTTCTCTAGGGAGGCACAGAAAAGCCATGACAATTCCGTCATGACCTTTATGGACTCCAAATGCCACTGAGAGCAGACAGTTGACACTTCTAAGACAGTAACTAACAAAGAAGAGGTCCCACTCTTCTACTCATGGCCAGGCCAGCTGACTCACCCAATCTCCTCTCAAATCTGCTTAACAGCCAGCCCCAAACCGAGAGACCAGGAGTAGCACCCAGGTAAAAGTCCTTCACTTTTAGCTATTGGCTTCATCCTTTCGATTGTCTAGGCATTAACAAAGTTATAGCAAATCCTGGCTGTGAGCTTGGAGCACACCTAGATAAGACTAGTGATACAACCAGAAAAGAAAGCAGGCTATAGGGGCACTAAAAGAAGCTTAATAAATAACAAAGAGGATGCCAGAAGCCAAAGACTAATTCAGCAAGAAAATATACCAGCGTGTTTCACCTCCTCTTCTAACCCTGTCCTTAGGGGTGTTTTATGGAATAAAAAGGCTGAAAAGGGAGACAGCTGAAGCCAAGCACCTGGAAGATCATTTAACCACATTAACTCAACCCTGAAAAACAATTAGTGACGCTATTTTTAATACTATCACTTTTGTTTATGCAGGACCTGCTTTCCTAAGCATTCAAAAGGTTTTGCCAGATAAATCCTATTTGCTTTAGTCTCCCTGAGGAAGGACTGGGTGGGGGTCACACAATAACCCGGATGGCTCAGCTCAGACTATGTAGAACAGGGGTCCTCAAACTTTTTAAACAGGGGGCCAGTTCAGTCCCTCAGACCGTTGGAGGGCTAGACTATAGTTTTAAAAAAAACTATGAACAAATTCCTATGCACACTGCACATATCTTATTTTGAAGTAAAAAAACAAAACGGGAACAAATACAATATTTGTATTTGCATGTGGCCCGCGGGCCGTAGTTTGAGGACCCCTGATGTAGGGCAAGCATGTTAAACTTGTGGCCCGAAGTTCGCATGCGGCCCACAACGAATATTTTTGCGGCCCAGCCAAAATAATGGTATGTAAGAAAACATTAATTTTATCATTGCTCTTGTTCTATTGTATAGTATACTTTTTGACATAAACCTACGTTTCTATGAAAATTGAAGCTTGTGGTTTTTTGCAGCTCACATAAACCTAAACCTGATTTGGCCCGTGTTAGCCTTTGAGTTTGACATGCTTGGTGTAGGGCCTAAGTGCCTTCATTAAAGGACCAGAGCCCTAAGCAGCTTCAGAGACGGAAGACCTTGCCCCTAGTGGGGGAGACAGGTGAAGAGCCACTAGCATCAGAGAGCGGGAGTGCTTTGAGGGCACAAAGGAGCGGTGCCTGGCTGGGGGAGGGCCAGACAAGAAGGCTGCCTTCCTGAAAACACAGACATACCTTCCTCATCTGATTATAAACTCACACTGGAGTACCACCTGGCATTATACAATTAAGAGGTCTAGACTTCTGGAAACAACTTCCTTCAGTGTCTGCTGAGAACTGGTGTCTAAGAACAACCCCCTGGCCTCCATCAACTACACTAAAAATAAAAAGGCAAAGAGAAGACAGCAGCTCTCTCAGCTACCAGCCCCATTTCTGGGGAGTATCCAAGTTAAGCCAGTGCTGTGGCACAAGATCATCAAAGCCCTAAGAAAACTGGGCCCCAAAAGTCTGGCTTCCTCAATGCCTAGATGTGTTCCACCAGCTTCACCCAACACTTTTCAGTTCATAAAACACCAGGAGAAGAAAAACAAAACCAAAAAAACACACCAGGAGACATGGATCCTCAAACACACCCTCCAGTCATCCCCAGCCTTACCTACATTACAAATCTGCCTGCCCCCGCCTGTATCCACCAAAGTCACCACCAATCTCCAATGCATGTCACGACCCATCAAAGGAGTCATT